TCATGATAAATACATTCTGTAATGTAAGTATCATTTTTGTAATTATTCTAAAAAGATTTCCATTTCGTGGAAATGTAAACTTTTTATTTTTAGGAGGGAGGTGTTACGTATCTAGGTAACAATGCCTAGATACTATTGTTTTTTTTTTCTTGACCTGTAGGTTGTCTGCCCCTTTGTGTAATAAGTTTTTTTTTATTCTTCAAGAGTCAAGCCACACAGACAGTGACCGGTCCTTGACCTATGTGTGTACCTCTGGTTGAAAGGAGGGTGGTTTTTTTTTTTTCTTTTCTTCTGTCTCTTTGAAGAGCGTTCTAGATCTGGGTGTTGATGACTTTCTGTTCTAGAAATTACTAGATATCGACGCGCGGTAGATTATATAAAGACCGCTCGCGTAACGTTGACGGACAGACATACGGAGACAGCCGTGAGACAGAATAGCGGAGACATTGCGTGACCCGTGCGTGGTATACCAATTGATCGTGTAAGTTAAGATTTTTCTTTTTTTCAAGGCCTTGCTTGTATTTGTAATTATATTTTCAAACACTTGTATTGTAATACTTTTACATGCCATTTTTGTTTGTAAAAGGGTTTTGGTCAACCCTTCCATTTTGTATTGAGTTATATTATGATTAAACATTAAGTTGATATTTTACCTTCCGATTTCTTGTGTAATTTTTTTTTTGTTATTCATTGTAAGTCTTTGATTAAATTCAGACTTTAGATAAGTGACACAACTACCTTTTTCTATTGTCACGTTCCCCTAGGCAAGCCATTTAAAAGTTGAATTCAATTTGTAATACGTGACAATACATACATGTATACATACATACATACATACATACATACATACATACATACATATATACATACACACATACATACATACATACGCTTTACTTTCTGCTTTATAGTATACATTATTCCCTCCTATTTCTGGTCTCGGGCAGAGTGACAGCTCGGTACCAACGAGATAGGACATTTCGCAGTTTTGTTACTAGTAGAGGAGGAGGAGGAGGAGGAACGAACTCTTCAAACAATGTCAACTGATCGCGACTACCGATTAATTGTAAACAGTTGTATATAGGATGGGAGGCACAGGAGGTAGACATTCACAGTAATTCGGTGACGAGTGCAGATTTAGCCAAGCTATGGTAAGCCATTTAAAATAGAAAACTATGCAAATAAGGAGAAATAGAATCTATTCAAGTTCTAAGATAATACAAGGTGAGTAGAGAAAGGAGAGAGGGATAATTACAGATTACAAACATGTAAGATTTTCAACAGGAAAGACAAAGTAAATAATGTTTTAATCCATGCCTCTGTGGGATAAATTTTTATTGGCACCAAAAGAAATAAATGCTCCGTTTGAACATGATCCCAAAGCAAAACAGTGCCGGAGTTGCGACTGTGGCAGCCACACCAAGCCTAGCGACAGGATAGAGGAGCCTTACGACATAGAGAGGGCCTTACGATATAGAGGAGCCCATGCCTTAATGGAGAATCCTTTGCCCCCCTCAGGCCATCGTACAAATATTTGTGTCTCCGATATGACACACTTTTAGGGGCCAAAGCATAAAAGGTCTATATGGAATAAAAGACTAAAAATAGTTTTTAAAAATACAACAATATATTTACATTGCAAAGGAAAAATACAAGTAGATTTTTTAAAGTAGTGAAAACAATTTGGAGTTTAAAAAATCTAGTAAATAAAATGAAAAATGCATTTGCAAAATGTTGGGTTTATTTCTAGTCTTCTTTTATTACATTTACTAAACATTATATAGAAAACTTGTCTTTGAGTCTCAAGATTAATGAGGAGTGCGGTATTTCCCGTGGATAGGTAGTCCCAGCTGTGACCTACATATTTTGCCACATCTAGCGCAGGCATAAAAACTGTCTACTGGTTGTTGATTTAGTGTTTCTTTACGCTGTCTATGTCTGTCCTCGGCAGCGGATTTTCGTTTGGTTTCAAATGTATATCCCTCGGCCTTTGTAAGTGATCTCCATCAGTCTCGCCCCGAAGCCTCCTGCAACCAGGTGCTCTCTTTTATGTCATTTTAAGTAATTAAAAGCTTGCCTTTAAATACTTCCTAAGGGGCATCTCTGTTATGCTGACCACTTTCAGCTCAACAAAAAAGACTGCCTTAGGCACAGATAATAAAGCTGTGTATTTGATTTATAAAGAAAGTGTGGTTGTTTTAAAAACAAACAATATAAAAACGGCATTATAAAACAAATATGACGTCATTCTTGATTTGAGCCGCAAATAAAAGATTGTTAAACTACGCTTAGAGATTGGAGGATTGATGAGAATATTCTTCTAAAAGACAAGAAAATGAGTCGGTGATAAAGCTAGCTACATTTGTTGCTCACATTATAAGTAGAAAAATTAAACCTTTTTCTGACGCTTACAAGAAGATTAGGTCTAAGTGACCCGCGACATTAATGTCGGTAATTAAAATGGCAAGCAGGTCAAATTAAGTTGGACATCACTGTGATAAGTCATGATTATCTTATCTCTGCATTCCTCGTGGAACATAAATCTTCGAATTTGATAAGTACACTTAAGTATTAATGCAATGAAGAGATAATACAGTACGGACTTAAAGTACAAACAGATAAACAATAACTAACAATGAACATTAACCCCAAATATCCTTTGTCTAAACTTTAAAAAAAAGAAAACTTTCCAAAAACTGAAATATTTCTTGACCTTATTTCTTTGAATTTTCTTCTTTAAAATATTCTGTTCTACTGGTCAGTACATTTGTTTTCACTGAAACAGGTATAGGTCTCAACATTCTATAAAGTATTGCTTAGGCCTAAAACAGGTTAAGGCATTTCCTGGTGGACTCAGAGGCTCACGAAAATTCCGAAATTTAAAATCCCAGCCTTCAGCTTGGTTTGTACCCCCGGACCACTGTTCGGAAGGCAGGCTTTACCTTTCAGCCACCGCACCTACAAAGGGTAGTTGGCGGTTTTTTTTTACCGCCTACGGTTGTTTTTCTATTGTTGTCATGTAACTTACACAACCACCAGTTGAAACAGTCGCGCCTAGTGACAAGAGGTCTCAATCGAATAGTCCTATTGGAGGAAGCAAATGCAAAGCAAAGATTTTATTTTAGAGAGAAGGAAAACAGAAATGAGGAAAAGGCGGGAGGGGGGAGGAGTTGCTGTAAAAAAAAGAAAAGCAGTTATTTCCCTTTTACGAAAGTTATATATTTATAATGGCTAGTTTTTGTATTGATCGATTGTACCTGATAGATTAGATTTCAGAACATTAACTTCACTCACAAATGCGAATATCTATTCATTTGGCAAGAAGAACGAAAGGGTCAACTTTGTAGTGGAGCTAATTAGTCAAGAGAAGTGAAGAAGTTGTTACTTATAAATGAGTACTCATCTTATTTTGGAAACTATAGAATCATGTCGCTACAGGTAACTTTGGTGCATACATACTGCCCTACAGCTGAGATTCAATGTGGTAGAATCTCCCACCATTTCCAGGGCTGTTAAGTTGCCACTTTGATCTGCCAAGAGATATCTGCTCTCCGTATCTAAAACAAAATTCGTAAAACCAAGTGTTATTTCTACAAGTTAAAGATGTATCTTCAACACAGAAAATATATATATGGGAGGAGACAGCCCAAGACCAAGCTCCCTCGTTCTCTCTCTCTCTCTCTTACACAATTTCAAAGGTTTTATTTTCTATTTCACTCAAATTTTGAAATTGCCTGTCTTAATTGGTAAAAATACCCACGCGCGCGTGTGTGTGTGTGTGTGTGTGTGTGTGTGTGTGAGAGAGAGATAACCTATTTGTGGATCCTTTCAAAGCGAGACATTGCTGATAATAATTCATTCTATAAAGGATTGCTTAGGCTGCTTTTCAAAATCATGCATTCTTTAAAGCGTTGCATATATTGTTTTCTTTTAAAGAGCATTCTATTCGTGTGTTTTCAGAATGAATATTCCATTAATCCTTTTACTCCTTTTGTACCTTGACTGTCGTTTGTATTGATCTATTCCTAAATGGACCTGATAGTTTCAGAATATAGGGACTCGAACACACAAAAGACTTTGACGGTGGGCCGTTTTCAACGTTTCGTAAACTAATGATATCACGATTGTATTTTGGAGAGATGTGCATTCTGTCCACAATCATCTAACATACGCGGAATTAGGAGGTGCCTACAAATTTGTCCAACACACCTCTAGGACAAAATAAAGCAACTCAGCGTTGAATATTTTTCTTCAATTGATATAAAATAAATAATCCTAAGTACAAGTCATTATACTTTGACTTAAAATAGGCCTAAAACAGGTTAAGGCATTTCCTGGTGGCGACCCGTACATGATAAAATTTACGTTCAAGCCTCCCTTAGAAGCTGGGGACCTAAAGTAGTGATGTCGGCTCCCGCAGTGAGGTCCGTGAGAAAAAAGCTGGTCATAAGTAAAACGCAACAAGTTTCTCTTTTCATTTTTACTAATTTAACGCTATATTTAAAAACCTAAATTACATAGGGCCTAATGAAATTTTACTAAAACGAGTCCGTTGTCTTTGGTGTTGTTTTTTTTTATAGTGTTGTCTACATAATTTCAAGCGTTGTATAAAGTTCTTTCTGGTGATAGAATTGAACACTCGGCGGGTTTCTGCTCAAGCCGGCAAGCTGTCTGATTTCGAGGCCGGGTCCAGGCGCTCAGCGTATTGTGGTGTTAACAGCTTCAGAAATTCTTTCTCCTAGTTTTTACACCTTTTTTTCGTACTAAGAAGAAAGAATATAAAAAGTTTGAATATTAATGAGTTTTCTTTTAGAACGAACTCTTCATCTCAGTAAAAAAAATCATCTAGTAATAAAGAGTTAGCCCTAGTTAATAGTATTATTCAAGGAACATTCTAGGTAAAAAGTAGGTATATATAGAGCACACGGACGTCTGTAATGGGCGTGATTTTGTTAAGTTCATCTTCGTGCTAAGTAAGACAACTCTGTCGCGGAGCATTTTAATATATATATATAGAGAGATATATATCAAGTAGTGAGGGGCGAGTCGATTGTTGCTGAAATTATCCTATTGGATAAACTTGCTTCTAGAAAAGAATTCATTTTAAATTGTATACAGTTTTCATGTTGTACGGAAATCCTTTCGTCATGCCGATTCTTGAGGTCCCCAAATACAGTATGAGAAACATTGAGTTAAGTGCTATGTGAACTAATAGAGCGTGACGGTTACTAAATACTAGCCACGCAAGTGAAACTCATAGGCCTATACTCAAATCTGAAGCTATAGCACTTGATAATAGAAAAACACGACCCAAGATACACGTGACAACATAGTGACTTGAATTGAAACATTTGATCGTATAGGAGCTTCATACACATGCGCATAAACACACACACAGACACGAACACATGAAATGTATTTCCTCTGAACATATTCATTTCATGTTTTGGTTTTGTGCTGAACTAAGAGAAGCAGTACAGAAATTAATAATTAAAGAGACCAAGCAGTACACGTGCCCTAGACTGGGATACCACACATGATCTGTCGACCATCTTTCTCCATTCCTCTCTATCTTATGCCTTGGCTAGAATCTCTTTCAATTGCAGGCCCGACCATTCATTTACGTCCATTTACGCTTTCTCCGTCTGCCTCTTCTTCTTTATTCTGGTGCTGTTTCATGAAGGAAAGTCTTTGCAAGAAATGAGGCCATAAATTTTTATTTTGAGGTTTTTGACAGTTGTTAGCAGGTCTTTTTGGGGTCCAATCTCCGTTGTGATCTTAATTCTTATCTGTTCCTTTGTGATGCTGACTTTTTATGGGATGTCTAGGATCCTCATATATTAAATATATATCATCTAAATTTCATTGCTAGAATCTTTCTCTCTAGTTCCACAGTCATCATCCAAGATTCACACACATAAAAATGTGGCAGTGACCAGGGAGCGCATCAGTCTGAATTTAGTGTCGAGGGTTATGCCTTTGTCTTTTCAAGTTGTTTCAATTTTTTGCAGGTGCAGATGTCATTTTTCTCCACAATCTTATCTCCACATTTCTTAACATTCCCACATTAACTTTCTTATCTTCACAATTTCATCTCCACATTATTAATTTACATTTTCATATTAACATTCCTATCTCTACATTTTCATCTCTACATTCTCATTATCACATTCTTCTTTCTATATTCGGTGTTTTAGTTTGTAATACATCAAATACAATGTGATTGAAAAGTTATTGATATTTGATTTGATGTATTAACTGAACAAAATAAATAATTTTTTTAAAATATCATAAATCATGCGATGCAACGCGCATTCCGTTCAAACTCTTTCTGCATCCCTTGGGATTCGCGTAGGCTAACACACTTTGGAAAAACTGTGTTAGAGGAGACAATTAGCTGGCCGAGTCTATATGAAACATTGAGGACTGAGGGAGCAATGTGTATGGCCATTTCAAAAAGTGTAACAATTACAAAGTTATTTTAAACAAGGTTACAAAGACAGTTGGTATGGAAACACAAACTCAAAATCAGCACCCGAAGTGGTCTACCCAGGCAGGTAAAAAGGCAGATTTCAATATTTTCAGAAAGAATATCAGAATGAAATTCTATCAAAAGCTAATGACAGAGAAGATTGGTAAAAGAAAGTTGACAGATCCTGTGTGGTGCCCCAATGGTCCAGCAGACCAAGGAATAGGTGAAAGTAAAGGTGAAGCTCAATGTGAACGTGGTCTAACTTGTGTCATAGAATAATTTTTCTCATTGATCTCATTGTATTTTATGATTATCTTATTGATCTAATTGTTTTGTAAAGGGTCAATCTCTTAGTCAAAGTCTCAAGCAAATAAGATATTCATTTCAGTAAAAAAAAATTCTTTTGTTAAGTGTCCCAATGTTACAACCCTGCAGTTGACGCGATAATATGAAAAACGACTTAATAATTAATGTTTTAAATTATTTTTAAACTAATAAGCATATTAAATAGATTTTGTTTCTCTTAAAAAAAAGTAAGCATTCTTTTTGTAAATGTAATAGCTAGTATGACAGAACTTATCTAACGTAGCATTAAATTTTTAAACAAATATTAATATTTTACAAAAAAACAACTAAAGCAGTTTGTATAAATGTGTTAAAAATATGTACATTATTGATCTCCCGTACTAATTTGCCTCATGTGTTTGTTACTATTAATAGTGAATAATTCTAAAAATGGTGTATTTTTTATGAAAAAAAACTGCTTGAATAGTTGATTTTAAAAATTAAATTTTCGATTTTAGAAAAAAAAAAGTAGATGTTGCATCAGAACTTTTAATGGAGTAAACTATCATGATGTCGGAGTTTCAATATCTTTTCTATTTTACGGACGGACAGTCGGGACTCAAGGATAGACAAAACACATAAAACTAATAGCGTCGTTTCCCCTTTCGGGGGTGGCTAAAAAAAGGAAGACGTAGACCTTAATACTCTGTAGACAGACACGTGTTATTGTCACGTGATTTAACCTGTGCTAAACGCGGGAAATAAGGAACATGATGACATTGACCTTTAAATTCATGTTGGAGTGGGAAAGTTTCACATAACAAGAAAAAGAAAAAAAATATATCACTTTAAAAAATAAAGCTTTTATTTGGAATAATTGTAGTTATGTAATCCAACTTGAAATATATCTATATTTTTCTAGACTAATATTAATAATAACTGTGTGCGATTAGAAACATATGTGAGAAATAAAGTGTACAAAACATTTGACCAGGCAGACAGAGTGAGTTGATATAAGCTTTAAAAAAAAAGTTGACCTCCCATCTTTTAACAAAGACATCGAAGTGGCTATACATTTTTTATCAACATTAAAGAAGGCCTTTTGTGTACGACACTCTACAAATATAATATAATAGATCTATACTTTTCATTTCAGGAAAGTCGTATTTTTAGAGTTCAAACCAAGTTTCTTATATTTTTTAACAGAGTATGAAGTGGATAAATTAAATCGATCGTATAGGGAATTATCTAATTGGGAACAAGAAGAGGCGCTAAAAATGACATGTGCTGAGTAAAAAGAGCTTTTGTTTTACCTTATTGTTACAAAACGTTTTTGCTGTTGGTGCACTTGGTGATGGTCTTGGTACCCTCACTGACAGCATGCTCGGCCAGCTTGGTGATGGTCTTGGTACCCTCACTGACAGCATGCTCGGCCAACTTGGTGATGGTCTTGGTACCCTCACTGACAGCATGCTCGGCCAACTTGGTGATGGTCTTGGTACCCTCACTGACAGCATGCTCGGCCAACTTGGTGATGGTCTTGGTACCCTCACTGACAGCATGCTCGGCCAACTTGGTGATGGTCTTGTACCCTCACTGACAGCATGCTCGGCCAACTTGGTGATGGTCTTGGTACCCTCACTGACAGCATGCTCGGCCAACTTGGTGATGGTCTTGGTACCCTCACTGACAGCATGCTCGGCCAACTTGGTGATGGTCTTGGTACCCTCACTGACAGCTTGCTCGGCCAACTTGGTGATGGTCTTGGTATCCTCACTGACAGCATGCTCGGCCAACTTGGTGATGGTCTTGGTATCCTCACTGACAGCATGCTCGGCCAGCTTGGTGATGGTCTTGGTATCCTCACTGACAGCATGCTCGGCCAACTTGGTGATAGTCTTGGTACCCTCACTGACAGCATGCTCGGCCAACTTGGTGATGGTCTTGGTACCCTCACTGACAGCATGCTCGGCCAACTTGGTGATGGTCTTGGTACCCTCACTGACAGCATGCTCGGCCAGCTTGGTGATGGTCTTGGTATCCTCACTGACAGCATGCTCGGCCAACTCACCAGGAAGAAGGAGACGGGTGGCAGTCTGAATCTCAGAGAAGTGATGGTGATGCGTTTGTTGTAGTGAGCTAAACTGTTAGCTTCAGTTGTGGTGCGCCCAAATAGTTCATGGGGTTCATGATAGAGATATCTCTTTTGAGGAGATGGTGTCACAGTGCAGCTCCTGTTTCAAAACTTTTGGAAATGTAGATGCTAGAGCTTTCAGCTTTCATAAGCTTTCCTTTTCTTTTACCACCGGTACGTAAAACTCTAACCTTGCCGACTTTAATTCTTGGCTCCACTTGACGATACTTTAAGTGACCTAGTTTTCAATCTGTGCGTGACAAAACTGAGAGTGAAGGACGAAGCGGTCCCTTGAGTGGAAATCCGGCGAGCACGCCACAGAAAACGAACGCGTCGAACCAATAGGACACTATTAATTAAAATATATATAGATCAAAGCTCTTCGAAAGAACATACACTTTTGAAACCAGGTTGACACAAAATGACTTAGTGTTCCTCCCATATGGTCTGCCTAGTGTGCATTCGAACCACAAACTGCCATGGGCATATAATTGTAATGTTTCGTAGCACGCTTTACATTTATTATCGTTTATATGATTGATCCCTGAAAATTTCTTCTCATAATTAACATAGAGGGTTTTATTTTTTAAATAAGACTTTAAAAAAAAAATTCCCCTTTCAGACACTGCTTAAGAAAATTGATGTCAGCTGGGTGGACCCACCAGGATTCGAACCCCGGAACCGGTTCGGAAGCCAAGCGCTTTACCACTCTGCCACCACGCCTCCAACATAAGACTTAAATCAAAATTATTTTTAGATACTAAGTAGATTTCAATTTAGATATATTGATATTGGGGCGATGTGGCTGATTATGTAAAGAAAAAATACGATGGTTTCGGGCTATTGACATATTTAAATTCTGCGTAAAAAGTTGTGATAGTAAACATTTTAACTTTTTTTTTGCTTTACTAGTCGACCGGCGGCATAGCATACGCCGCTATTTTGCAGGGCCGGCCTTAGGTGACAGCAGTGGGCTCCGCACGTATGCGACAGCAGTGAGCCTCGCACTTTCATAGGACCCGCGCTAATTCTAGGTTTACGTTGTGACGTTGCGAGTTTTGATACTACTCTGAACTTTGATTCTTCATGGTGGGTGAACATTCGTCCTGGCTAGAAGATAGTAATGTTACCTTAAACAGTTTACAGAATCTTTGTCTTGAATTGGAATATTGATGAGGTCAATATTATTTCTATAAAATAATATTTAAGTATTTAAATTGAACTATGCAAAAGCGACATGAAGCTCTTCAAAATCGACACTAGCAGCTGGGAAGAGGTAGCACTGGGCAGATCCACATGGAGAGAGAGCATAAAGGAAGGGTCACGGATTGCAGATGTCATACACAACAGAAGCAAAAAGAAGGGTGATTACGCAACGGCGCCTAGTGATCACATATGCCCAATCTGCGATTGCAGCTGTGTATCAACGATTGGCCTCTTTAGTCACACAAGAAGTTTGAAAGGGAAAAGATCGTCTCTCGAGACGTAAAATGCCATAGATTTAATTTGAACTATATCATTATATATTTTTAAATTCATTTATTATTATCATTAATCACATGTCATTTTCATTGTATAAATATTGTTATAAAACTGGTGGTGAGACAGATGGGGGTAGTGCTGTGTGTGTTTTGGACTACGCAAATCGCCAGCTAGACGAGCGGTCAACCGTGATGAAAAACAGTACACGCCAGTTCGGCAAAG